CTGGACAGCAGAGGTATCTGGCAAGCTGGAGGCACCCCTACTACGCCACAACAGGCCAGCATAACTGGGGTGTGATGGCTAGGACCTTAGGGCCATATCCAAATATCACCATCAGATGGGCTCCCAGTGCCAGAGGCCCTGGCAGGCAGTGTGGCCAGAACTCATACCAAGGGTCCCTGACCTCTAGAGCATTTTTTGGGTCAGGAAAGCACTGGCTCGGAACTAGAGCACTGGCTCTAGGACTAGTACAGTGCCCCCCCACACTGCACCCCCCCCCCAGCTTATTCTGTCCACAACAACAAGGCCCCAGCAGTGCAGTAGGTGACATCCTAGCTCTGCCACTTACTGTGTGTGACCTTGAAATTCAGTTTCTTTATCAATCAAATGAGGATAGTAACTATCCGTGTTATAGATTTGTTTTAGGAATATCCTAGTTAAACTCAGGTGCTCAGGACTGGGCCTGTCACATGGTAAACACTCAGCATTCAGCTGTCACTAGTAAATGCTCTTCTGGGCTTCAGTCTTTTGCTTGGTACAGAGTAGGAGCTCAGTTGTACACCTGAACAATCACGCATGCTGATGGATCCTGGTATGTGAGAGGTTCTTCTCTCTGCCATAAGGAGGCCTTCTTGGGAGGGCCTGGTTAGGCAGATCATGCTCCTCTAACCTCTTAGGCTCGAGCCCAGAGGAAACAGCAACTTTCTTCGCTGGGAAAGTGTTGTGGGGCTCAAGTGTTTGGGGGTTTTCAGAGTCAACCGTCAGAGGCGAGGGAGTTTCTCTGCTGGTGGTGGCAGGGGCTCTCAGCGTGCACACAGCTTGTGAGCACAGCAGACCGCTGCGGTCTGCAGGGAAAATGCCGACTGTGTTTATTTTTCACCTGAGCCTGGAGGGGGGGGGGGGGGGGGGGGTTGGGAGGAGGCAGGGGCAGCCCAGCCAGACCCAAGATCAACTCCAGAGCAGACACCTACCTCAAGAGTCCCCCATTTCCACCTCCCTCTGCCTGGCCCTTTCCTGACTTCAACCTGCAAAAAAAGAGGACGACACACTAGAGCACCAGATGAGAAATTTCTAGCCTATGGAAAGTGTCCCTAAAATGGAGGAGCACCTTTGGGATGGTAGACTTGAGTAGATGTGGAGAAAGGTCTTTGAGCAGTAAGAACAATGTAGCATCAGGAAGGACCACCTCTTCTGGGGGTGAGCTGGGTCCAAGCATCCAGCAGGAAGCTGGACAGTATTGGTGGGGACTGATGGGTGACTCTCAGACAGCCTTAGGGTCTGAGTCCTGGACCTGTCCTGAAGTGCCACAGGCTGGTGGGAGGGGCCATGAGGGCTCAGGCAAAGGCAAAGAACAGGGACCTGGGGTATCTTGAGAGAAGAGTACAGACATTACTTATGTATTAATGCATCCCATCATGCTCTAAGCCCTTACTGTGTACTCTGCTCTCAGAGTAAGAGAGATGATGTTGTGCTCTTGAGGCACTCAGGGCCTGGTGGGGACAGTCCATCCAGGCCTGCCTCCCTCCCTTGGGGGCTGGGCATGGTTACCATAAGTGACCCCACCCTGTTTTCTGGAAGCCTGACCCTGGGACAGTCTTGTGCTGGAGCCCTGGAACGGGCAAGGGGAACAAGGGGCCCTGTGCTAGAGGGTTCATCTCTGGCTACTACCACTAGATACGGAGGGGGCTGGGGAGTGAGGCTTGGAGGCAGCTTGCATGAGCATGGAAAGGACTGGCCACCCCAGGCCCTCCAACTGCCAGTAAGCTCTCTGCCCCACCCCTGCCCACCCAGCACTTCTGTGGTTTGGCTGGAGGCTCCTGCTTAATGAGGCTTTTCCCCTGTTCCCAGGGAAGGTTGGTAGATAGGACAAACCCATTTCCCCCAGAACTCCCATCATTCCACTGCCTTGTCACATGCATACATAGCAGGCCAGCAGCTATAGTTTGAGCTGTTTTCTCTGAGGTTCCACAGGCCCAGCCTGAGCTGTGCTGTGACCTGGGGCAAGCCACCCTCTTGCTGCCTTGCAGCGGCTCTGGGCAGAGTGCATAGGACTGTCTTCCTAAAGCTGGCACCTTGGATTCCAGGCCCTGCTCCTAAGGTTTTTCAGGGTCAGAGCTGTCCATACCCAGCTTTCCCTCTAAGCTACCCAGGTCTCCTCAGTCCTAAGGGTTAAGGAGCCAGAGCCAAGTTTGGATGGTAGCGCCTTCTCTGAAGCAGGAGTGTAGACTTGAAAACCTCCTGATTCTGGAGGCAACTGTAGAGGTGTCATCCCACCTGGGGAGCTGAGGCTGGCTCCAGGCGTTTGTACCTTTAGATAGTGAATGGTGGAATGCTTTCTGCCAGGGTCTAATGTTCCTTTGTGCCCAGTTTCCCTGCCCTCAGCTGCCAAAGCCTACCATCTGGTTAGTGCTGTTCTGGGAACCTGTTAGGACAAAAAGACCTCAGGGATTTCTAGGAAGTTTCTTACTTGAATAGATGCTTAGCTTCTGCTTCCCAACTGACTTCATATCAGAGGATGGAGAAGGATGCTGGAGGCTGAAACACCTATGGGTAATCCTGGGTATTGTAAGCAAGAAGAGTGGAAGATGCCAGAGGGAGCCTCACACAGAGCTTTGCAAGCCCCAGGTGAGGAAAACAGTTAGGGAGGCCACTGGAGGATTTAGGCAGATGAGTGACATGACCTGACTTATTTGGCTATTAGAGGGAAGACTGGCGGAGGGGACAGGGAGGACACTGCTGCAATTGTCCAGGTGAGAAGTGACAACAGCTTGGACTAGGTGGGGGACAGGGAAGAAGGTAAAAGTAGGTGGATTCTAGATTTATTTATTTTTTAATTAATTAATTAATATTTTTGGCAGAAATTGAATCCTAGAGTACTCTCCCAGCTTTTTTTATTTTGTGACAGAATCTTGCTAAGTTGTCAAGGCTGACCTCAAATTTGTGATCCTCCTACTTCAGCCTTATGAGTAGCTGGGATTACAGGTGCATGCCACTGCACCTAGCAGATTCTAGATTTTGAGGTAGAAAGTTGGTCACGGGGTACGAGAAAGAGAAGAATCAAGGACGACTCCAAGGTTTCTGGTCTGAGCAACTCTTCAGGTTGGAGTTATCAACTGAGGAAGAGAGGAGCATATGGAGTAGAAAGTCAAAAGTTCTGATTTGGATATGTTGAGTTTGGGGGGCATTTTAGACCTCCAAGCAGAGTTGAATAGGCATTTGGAATGTGGAGTCCCATGAGAAGTGGGTCTGGAGATAGAAATGTGGAGTCATTGGATGAAGATGTTTAAAGCAAGAGCCTGGAAGAGAAAGGTATTGGGGAGTCAGAAAAAGTGGGCCTGTGGAGTTGGAGGGAAATTAGGCAAATGTGTAGCATTCTGAAAGCTAAGCGAAGAAACTCGGCTTCAAAAAGGAGGGAGAAACCAATTGTGTCTGATGCTGCTAAGAAATCAGGTAAAATGAAGACAGAATTGACCTGAGAGTTCAGAATTGTGGAAGTCATTGGGGACCTTGATAGTAGTTTCTGGTAGAGGAACGGGTTGAAGGAAGAATGAGAGCTGAGAACTAGAGGCTAGGCCTGCTGGGGTTTCTATAAAAGGGAGTGAGACATGAGTTGGTAGTTAGGGGAGGATTTAGATAGAAGTGGCAGCCCGTGTGCACTTTGGTAGGGATGAAATTGGACTTGTGAGGTGCTTGGCACAGTGCCTGTCATGTGGTAGGTAGTCAGTGTCTGATGGATATCACATGTGTCCACACATCCCACACCTGTCCCAGCCTACCTCTTTACCTATTGCTAGCCATCTATCAGGACATCAGCTCCTGTCTGCCTGGGGCAAAAGAACTGGTGCAGCTTATAGCCTGGAGGCAGGAATGCAGGGGCAGATGGCAGGCCAGGGCTGTTGCTGTTGCTGTGGGAGCCTGTGCCCAGCTGGGAGCTTCACTTCCTGGTTATACTGGGGCTCATACCTAGCTTTCCCTACATCCTTACCCTGGACCCCCAATAGACAAGTACCAAGGAACCTGTGCTAGGCTCCAGCCATTACCAGGAGAGGAAACTGAAGATCTGAAAGAATCTGGTTAAATTCACCTGGCAGGGAATTTTACCCTAGGAGGCCAGAATACAACCACCTTCTCATTACTGTCTTGCCCCAAAAGATGTCCCCTCTTTCTTCTGTGCCACGGGTCTGAGATCACTCATCTGTACTCTTAGCCAGCAGCATCCCCAGAAACATTCTGAGTGGGAAGCTGAGCCTTGACTGGATGATGAGTCTCCAGAGCTCTGGCCTGCGTAGGTGTGCACTGAGGACATGCAGAGCTGGGCCTTGGGCATGGCAGTGACTCCCTGTGGCTGGGTTATATAGAGAGCCCTTTCCCCCAGCCTGCTGACTGAGTCATTTCAGGACAAAGAGCTGTGCGCCTAGTGTGAAAAGTGAGAGTCCTGAGGAAAGTAAGAGTGCTGAGGAAACCGGAAGACTGGGGGCTGGGCAGGTTGGCCCCACCTCTCTTGAGTTAGGGGACCAAGGTGGGGAGGTCCTGCCTGGTATCACCATATCCAGTTAGCACTGAGGTGGGGCTAAGGGTCAGACTCAGGACCCCCAGTCTAGGGGCTGGAAGAGGAAAAGCTCTAAGCCTTGCTGCCTGGGGCTGGTGGCTGTGAGTAGCCCTTATAAACAAGCCACTGGTTCTCAAACAAGCTGGATATTCTCTGGGAAAGTAGGCTAGGAAGATTTCCCAGACAGGAGAGATATGCCTCTGGGAACTGAGTGCCCAGAAAATCCAAGAGGTTTTGATTACCTGGGCAAAGTGTGGGGGCTAAAGGGCAGAAGATTGCACTGCTGGACACAGGGTGGGTTGAGTGGTGAGGCCTGTGGTTTTGGCTAGCACCACTTCTTTGAAAGTTGAGCAGCCCACACTGCTCACTGCAGCTCTGCCTATATGCATGTCCCTACCCTCATGACTTCCTCCTTCAGGACTCCCCAAGTTCACCTGCCCTCCTAATTTTTCAGAACAAGGCCAATCAGCCAACCCACAGTGTCCCCCAACTGTCTCCTCTCTACGAACATTTCAGCAGCCCACACCCCACACCTGCACCTTCGGACATCAACCAGAAACAAGGTATGGGCCTGGAATAGGGAGGGGTCTGATGTGAACAGCCTAAGGCCTTCTATTTTATAATGAGAGAACCTGAGGCTGTGCAAAACAAGGGTCCAAAGAAAATGCCAGAAAGATAATTTGGGGAGTCTGAGGGAACCAGAGGACTGGGTAGATGGTGCCAGGTCAGAATATGAAGCCTTAAAGTTGGGGTAGAAGCCTGCCCCAGTGGCAGTGTGAGCTTCTGATCACTATGAGCAGCTTCCTGTCCTAGTGAGAAAATGGAAAGTGGTGGTTGTGATGGCTGATTCACCTCCCCTCAGCCAAAGTCATTCTGAAATCTATTGTCAGCTGTAGGAAACCTGCTGACTCAAACCTGGGGGACTGGTTAGTAGGGGGGAGGCCTGGCATCCCAGGTAAGGTTCCTCTCGACTAGGGCCTACCTCCTGGTCAGAAAGCCAGGCAGAGCCCCCAGCAGAGAGGCTCCAACTGCAGAGCTTCAGTGGCCCAGGGAATGGTGAGGCCTAGCCACCACCTCCTGAGTGACTGCCTACTGGTCAACCAGTGCACTCCGGAGAGTCACCCAACCCCTCTGCCCTTGGTTCCCTTGCCTGTCAGAAGGCCACTGTTATCATGCTGGGATAGTCCTAAACAAACCAGTTTGTCTGGACCTCTAACAAAGAGAGGTTGCTCTAGGATGTAGGAACTGCTGAAGTCACCCCCAGATCAAGCTAGCCCAGTTACTTGGCTCCTCTCCATGGCAGGAGTTCACAGGCCTCTGCAGACCCCTGACCTCTCTGGCTTCTACTCTCTGACCTCAAGCAGCATGGGACAGCTCCCTCATACTGTGAGCTGGTGAGTATGGGCCCAGTGGGAAGGGGAAGGAGGCACTGTGTGGTGGTTGAACGTTGCCTGCCCTTCCATGTTCTTTACAAACACCATAGGATGACCAGCAATTGTATCCCAACCTGCTCTGAGCTAGGGGTTCTTGTGGTTGGTTGACATATTTCCTCTAGAGAGGCCAGAGAGCTGGCTGTTGGTTCCAGCCCTATGAAACCTGAACTCTCCATCATGGGAGAACTCTGGACTGCTTAGGGACCTCCAGAGCCATATGAGTATGTGAGGAAGAAAAGGTAGGCCTGAGTAGGGAGGTGACAGCATGAATAGCCAACAGAGAGGGTGCTGCTTCTCAGCTGCCTGGTGGGCAGAGGGACACTTCCCACTAGCCTCAACACCTGCTGTTGGCTGGTCTCTTCCATGGCTGAGCTGCTTGAACAGCAGGTTCCCCTTGTCCCTATGGTACCTGATTGAGCTCAAGCCCCTGACCAGCATGTTTGGAGGGTGTACTAAGGCTAGGCCAGAAAAAGCCAGCCTGGACCCAAGTCAGAAGGCCTGACTGTGGGCCAAAGGATCTATCCTCAGCTTAAATGGGGTCTTCGCAGGCCACTTAGTCATTTACTTGTCACCCATAACGTTACCTGTGCAGATAGGCTCTCTGGAGTAGAGCAGTCAACCAGCGGAAGGAAAAGTTGGCTTCCCAGGAAGGGTAGGGAAGGCCAAAGGTGCAGCATGCCCCCTTTCCCTTACCCTACACCCATGTTCAGCACACTCCTTCATTCCCAGATTATCTTTGGACAAAGTGCCATTATAAATACAAATCCGGACTATCCTCAGGATATCAAGATGGGATGACAGTGCTTAGGCCAGGCGCGGTGGCACACACCTGTAATCCCAGCGGCTCAGGAGCCTGAGGCAGGAGGATTTCGAGTTCAAAGCCAGCCTCAGCAACTTAGTAAGGCCTTAAGGAACTCAGTGAGACCCTGTCTTTAAATAAAATATAAAAAAAGGGCTGGCGATGTCACTAAGTGGTTAAGCGCCCCTGAGTTCAATCCCCAGTTAACTCCCTAGAGTACTGTAGGCTAGTAGCTCCAAGGCCAAGAGACTTGAGCCTAGAGGGGGTATTTACCCACTTAGGCTCTAATGAAGGTCTTTAGGGACAGGGAGGGAGAGCCCTATGTTCTTAGCTCTTACCAGGCAGCACTTGGCTGCCAGACTCTGAACTGAGCCTTACTGTGTGCCAGGTAGGGTTATGGGTGTCAGGGAAGCACTGCTTCAGCTGTCTGATCCTTAGGTCCCTGACCTCTCCAAACTCAGTTTGCCCAGTGATCCAGGCAAGAAGCCAGGCAGTCACAGTGCACTGTTAGCATTGCTTTGGATGGGGGCTGTAGGAGCCCATAGGGGTACCTTATCTAGCTTGGAATCTCTGGGCTTTTGGAGAAAAGAGTGACAGCCAAACAAGACCCAAAGGATAAACAAAGAGTGAAAGCAAGCAAATTGAAGCAGAAAAGCAATCCAGACATTATCAGTAGAGGATGAGAGGCCCTTGTACAGGTATCAGCCCTATATTATCAAGGAAATTTAGGAGACAGGCTAGAGGGGCCCCAGGAAGCCTGCTAAGCTGGGTCCCAGGAGAATAGCAGTTCCAGCCCTTAAGCACAAGCTGGTCCAGTGAAATAAGGGCAAGGTGAAGCACAAGTTGCCCCCTGGTGGCAGATGCCAGAAGTAATCCCAGCAGAAGCCAATCTGTTTCAAAGACTATGGGTCAGGCCAAGAAGGTACAAAAGCTTTCCCCATGTCTGGTTGGCAGCCAGACTGCTAACAGCTGTCTCTCCCAACCACAGGCCCAGCCCTCCTCTCTACCCCCTGTCCCCTTCCTGCGGATATAGACAGCACTTCCCTGCCCCCACTGCAGCCCCTGGCACCCCCTACCCCAGGTGAGTCCCCTACCCCTGCAGCCAGGCTCCTGCTTCCTGTTGCCCAGGCTTAAGTGCCCACACAAGGCCATGCTCAGGCCAGTGCTTACCCCGTGTTAGTTGTTTGTCCATCTGTCTGCCTGTCATCCTGCAGCCCCCTGCTGCCCTAATGCCTGACAGCAAAACTGGTAGGAGTGTAAGAGCCCCCTGTCCAGGCCATATGTGCAATAAAGCAACAAAGAAGCCAGGATAGCAGTGCATGCATAGCTCAGCCAGTGTGCAGATGTGTGTGCACTCACCTCTGTTCTGCATCCCTACTGGGGCATCCCGTGAGCTTTGCCCAAGTTGAGGCAGCATCTTCTACATAAGTGTCCCCAGCCTCTGTCCTTCAGGGGGTTGCCTGCTCAGGGATCCTATACCTGTGCAAGCAGCAAGGGGCACAGTGATCTCCACAAAACAGTAAGGAAGTAAGCTGGGAGGTGAGTGCACAAGTGTCCTATCATTTAGCTTATTCCCTCAGTGACAGACCTGGTGTCAAGAATATAACAGCAAGAAATTCAGCAGTCATTTCTAGTTCCACTGGAGCTCCCAGCTCAGGGTGGGAGGTATAGATACAGCACAGCTATAAGTGGGCCAGTGGGTAATCAGGAAGCCCCCAAGGAGACTGCAAGCAGGCTCGATGGGTCAGAGAGCGCCTTGTGGAAAGGGTTAAGATTTCCTGACAGGGATAAAGGGAACAGCTGTAACAGGGCTTAGCTATGGGTGGAGTGTGCTGGGAAATGGGGTAGAAATGAAGCTAGAAATGTCAGCATAGATGCTTAAGCAGGGCTGTGCAGGACTTGGGAAAAATCTGGATTTTATTCTGTGGGCAGTGGGAAAATTTCAGCATTCTTTTAAATGGTCATGCTAGCTGTGTGTGGAAAGGGCCCTGGAGGGGGTGAGGGGGTCAAGTGGGAGTGAGGAGGCCCACAGGCAGCCCCCAGCTCTTCAGCCTGACTTGGTGGCGGCAGGTGGGGAGAAGATGATACATTTGAAAGCTACTTGGGACTATTTAGTAACCACCCGAATGGCATATCCGTGGATTTTTGCAGTGTCTGTGTAATGTGTCGGGAGCAGATATTTGTATGTATCTCTGTATATGTGTGTCCAGGTCAGTGGGGATGGGGAATCTGTTCCTCTGTGTCCTTGTCTACTGTGCATGGGCCTCCATGTATGTCTGAAGGTCTGCCCATAATTCCTGGCTCAGTGTTAATTCTCTTCCTGTTTCCAGGTTTACCCACCCATCCTTGATGCTGGGCTCTGGTGTCCCTGGTCACCCAGCAGCCATCCCTCACCCGGCCATTGTGCCCACCTCAGGGAAGCAGGAGCTGCAGCCCTATGACCGCAGCTTGTGAGTAAAAACACACTCTGTGGGTGAAGGGGAACAAGAAGGTATAAGATGGGCAAGTGAGCAGATCTACTGTCAGCCAGGTCACACATGCCTCCCACCAGACCCAAGAACTGCCTGGTGGCCCCTCTAAGCCTTCTTGTGGCTCTGGCTACTGACCACTGTTTTAGCTCTCTGCTCATTCATTTGGGTCAGCTAAAAAAGAGTCCATTTACAAAGCCTTAGGATCATACACTTATGCACCCACACTCAAGGAAGGTGCTCAGTGATCAGCGGGGAGGGATTTGGTCCTGAGCAGTCTGGATATCTGTCCCTTAGGAAGACACAAGCAGAATCCAAGGCAGAGAAGGAGGCTAAGAAGCCAACCATTAAGAAGCCCCTCAACGCGTTCATGCTGTACATGAAGGAGATGAGAGCCAAGGTCATTGCAGAGTGCACACTCAAGGAGAGCGCCGCCATTAACCAGATTCTAGGTCGCAGGGTGAGGCCATGGGGCAAGTGGGTTGGGGGGACTTCTGATCCCTTTCACCCTGCTGACTCTGTGATGTACCCCATTCCCCCCCACCCCTGCAGTGGCATGCACTGTCAAGGGAAGAACAGGCCAAGTATTATGAATTGGCCCGTAAAGAAAGGCAGCTGCACATGCAACTATACCCAGGCTGGTCAGCGCGGGACAACTACGTGAGTGGCCAAACACATCCAGCAAGGGTGGGCAGGGGAACCTTCAAAATACTGTGTCTCAGGACTCAATCTCAGGTGGAAAAACAGAGCTACTGTCCTGACCAATACAGATGTGGTATAGAGGAGGTAGGGGCATGGAGAGTCCAAGGCTCAGAAGAGGCAAGCCTGGGGAGCTACCCTAAAGCCAAGCCCACACATCCTGTTCTGCACTCTAGAATCCATTCACACATGGGATGTTGCCAGTATTTGGGCCACATAGTAAGAAGGGGAAGGGGCCATTCAAATTGTAGACCAGATTGGGAGAGGGAAGAGCCCCTAAATGTACTCCATGGCAGCCTAGCAAGAACTGCAATCAAGAAACTATAGGACCCCCAGGTTGGAGGAGTGTGAATGTCCAGAATTCCAGGGATAGTTAGGCTAGGCAGTAGCTGCAGATAGCCCAGTGTCTACCTCCCTGATCTAAGTATCCTTCCTTTTTTCCCTGCAGGGGAAAAAGAAGAGGCGGTCAAGGGAAAAGCATCAAGAATCTACCACAGGTGAGGCCTTGCCTCAACAGTAGTATAAGCTCCTCTCCATGCTCCCATTTTAAGAGCAGCTCTGCTCTGACCCAGAGGGGTTAGCAGAGCACTCAGCCAGGAACCTTCAGGGCCTGGGCCCTCTGGAAATGAAGGCCTGCATTTCACAAGTCAAATTCCCAAGCAAGGAACAGCTATACTAAATCCAAGGGAAGACCAGCTCCCCTTGACACCCAGGGGAGAGGGGTCTTCATTTAGCAGGTGATATATCCTCCACTTTTGTCAGCCCTACCTATGGTTAAACTCTACCAGAAAAGCTGGTAAGTAATTGCCAGTGTGGTTCCAGGAGTAAGCCAGAGTATGCTGGCTGTCTAGTTCTGCTGAGGAGGAGGAGCAGGCTGTCTGGGCAGAAGCTGACCAAGGCCCAGGCCCAGCCCAGGTCACACAGTCTGCTAGCTAGTGCCTGGCAATTTCTCCACCATCATATCCCCATCTCTTACTCTGGTTTCTCATGGCAATGTAAAGTGCTCTGTGTAGAGGACCCAGGAAACCCACACTCTGCAGGTCTCCTTCCTGTGGGTGAATTCCTGCTTCACATGCGTGACTTTCTCAGCTGTGTTGCCCCTATAGTGGGAAGCTGGAAACTAGGATTGAGACTGTGCGGACAAAGTCTGCAGCTCTTTCTCTGAGGCTACACATAGAGTGTAAGTTGTAGCCTTAGCCCTTAAGGGAATTCGGGTCAGAAAGACTGGGCATTGGCAAGAATGAAGAAAAACTGGATAAAATAGGCAGGCAGTCAGGAAAGAGATGGACAGCCCCAGTGCAGAAAAGGCTGGATCCCAAGAGCCTCCCTGGGCTTCTCTGCAGTCTCCAGGTCAGAAGGGTTCCCACAAGCAAAAGAGAGGAGCCAGCCTGAGGACCCTTACTCCACCTCACCATTCTTCCCACTGACTCTATTGCCCAGCTGGGTTACCTCCTTTCCTAAAACCTTGCTCTGGGGCCTAGGGCTCCCACTGGGGCTGGCTGTGCCATGGAGAGGTCCATTCTGCTTGTGGGGGCTGTGGGATGTCTATAACTGGCTAACACTGATATTACCTCTTCTTTCTGGGCCCTGCTCTGCCCTGCTGCCTGCCTGCTCGCCCTCTGCCCTGCTCTGCCCCTCTGGCATGGCTGTGAGCAGACACTGGCTCGCCTAAGAAATGTCGTGCTCGCTTTGGCCTCAACCAGCAGACGGATTGGTGTGGTCCCTGCAGGTGGGTTTGTCCCCACCATCATTCTCCCTTTGCTTCAAGCTGCTTCCCTGACTACACATGTTCTGCTGGGCCTGCAGCCCCCTCTGGTCCCTCAGCCCCCTGGCATACCCAAGAGATTCCTAAGAATGGGAGTGAACATTGAACACAGATTGTGAGAGCACTTGGGTCTAGGTGAAAGCAATGGAGGAGGACATGCAGAATGTTCCAGAAAGGAAAGCAGACTTAAAGAGATGGCTCTGGTGCCAGTCAGGCCTAGTAGGTCCTTAGCAGACAGATCTGTCACATATCATTCAGGAAGCCTAAGCCCCTACTCCTAGGCCTCAAAATCATTATGGCTTTCCACTTCTTCAAAGTGGGACCCATGCCTGTTCCATCCCAAGCCCTTAAATCTGAGAAAAACTAAATGATAACATCAGACAACCACCTAAATAACCTTATCGCCAGGCAGCCTATGATTTTCTTCTCTCATACCTACTGAGATCAGAGGGCTGGAGAGGTTAGGAGAGAGAAGCAGCATTACTCTTGGACTATCTTACCCAGAGAGCCCTGTGGCACTAAATTTCTGTTTTTTATCATGGGTATGAAAAGTTTCACCCACCAAGTGGTTAAAGATGCCTTTTTTAGGCCATACCTGACAGAGCCAAGGCTGAGGGTACTCAGACAGTAAGGTCAATGGCTCTATGGAACACTTGTTCAGCCCTCTGGTATGCCTATCATTGTCCCTATTCAAGGGCAAGGAGAAAAAAATTAGTGGGTGGAGGCACGTGTGCATACATGAGGCCCTCATCATTCTGTTCTACTCAAAAGACCAACTGTGGCTTTGAGAATTCTAGGTTGTAATATACAAGAGTCCCAGTCCACTTCTTCTCCCCTTAGCCCTGCTCTGAAGACATGGATTGCTCAGCCAAGAACTACAGGCATTGCAGTCCTTTGCCTTAATGTAGATCTGAGTCCCCACAAACATGAAACAGAAGCTTAAAGACCCACACTAGGAGATGGCTTCCTTGGGGGGAGGGGGGCCCCCACAGGCCAAGTTACAAAAGGTCCCCACCTTGTGGTTGTTCTGAAAACTGCACCTGACCTAGTCTGGGCCAAACCCAAGAGTTGCAGGGCTGATTCAGGTTTGAGGACATAAGCACATCCATCACCCAAGTCATGGGGAGAGGACAAGAGGTCAGCCAACCTGTGCAAAGACAGCATTTTTTGGTTTTGGTGTATGACTGTGAATTCACCCTCTGTTTACAGATAACTCTCTTCACTATTCCTAGGAGGAAAAAGAAATGCATTCGGTACTTACCCGGAGAAGGCCGCTGCCCCAGCCCCGTTCCTTCCGATGACAGTGCTCTAGACTGCCCTAGGTCCCCAGCTCCCCAAGACTCACCCTCATTCCTTCTGCCCCTCTTCCCCACAGAACTGCTTGCTAGCCCAGTGGAGTCGGCACCAACATCCCCACGTCTCTCCACTATTCTCAGTCTCCCTGCCCCTGGACCACCACAGGCCCCTCACAGCACCCTGCAGAACACACAAGTACAGCAACAGGAATCTCAGAGGCAGGCGGCCTAGCATGCACAGGACTCCTGGCCTCCTCCAGAGGCCTATCCCTTTAGAGAAAGCAGAAGAAGCCCCAGTCATATGGAAACTGGCCAGCAGCCCTCCCAATACTCCATGTAGGGTCCATGCCCTGAAGATTTCAGAGGCTGAACAACTTCTGCCTGAACGTGAAGCCATCAATTCAAACTTCTCAAGTGGTGGGACCATATTAATGCCAGTGTGTCGTCTCATTAAGGGAATCCTGATTCCTGTGGCAGCCTATATTGTGGTGTCCCCAACCCCGCTCCAAACCATGTGCTTTACTAGCCAGATACCCTTGTCTCCCTTGCTTTTCTGCTATAGGTCACAGAAGGGCAGGACTAAGCTCAGCTACATTCTCTACAGAAATGCCTCATCTGTCCTCCTCTGCCACACCCTTCCCACACCAGACACTTCCATGGATCAAGAATAACCTGTTTTATCAAACATCATCTGAGCATGATCACAACCACAAAGCTCAAGATGACTATGCTTCTCCAAAGGGAATGGAGGAGCTGTTTACAGAAAACCAGCTGCTCTTCATAAGCTGAACCAGAGGAAGCCTCTTAGTATATTCTCAGGAGCTTAGAAGAGGAGGAGGGAATGGAATAGGTTTAGGCCTAACAACTTATCAGGCAAATGCGGGTTCCTGAGCAACTTAAGAAACCCTGACACCAAAGCTCAGGCACCAGGTGATGCAGGCAAATAGTTCAAAGAAGTCATGGCCCAAATCTAGTATGTATCCCTCTCCATTCAGTCTTTTTTTCACAGTTCCATTTCCAGCTCATCCATGTCACTTGAGCCAGCTCTTGGGCAATTTAAGAGAGTAAACCCAAAACCTCCTCCAATAGCCAGAGCTTGCCTTCTAGCATTCAGACCAGGCCAGCTTGTTTTTTTCCCTTTGGGGCTGAAGGAAAGAGGACTGTTAAAACTAAAGGAGCCCAGAAACCTCTAGTGGTGGACATAGGTTTTCACCACAGCCTACTTTAATCAATTTTTGAGCCAAGCTTCAACCCTGAGCCTTGAGAAACAAGTCTTTTATTTTAATTTAACTTTTTTTTTTTTCCTTTTGCCTTCTCCTCATTGTACATAGCCTGAATCCAAAGAAAAAGGGCTGTCTGTGTACTCGTATATACCCTTACAAAAAGCCTTTAGTTACATACTTTAGCCACTGGTTTCTCAGAATCCAAAGATCACCTATTCTTGTGTAGTGTTGCAAAAAGTCTTGAGAAAAAAGGACCAATGTAGTGTTCAAAATATTTTTGTATTGTTAATGCATCATCAAAGAAAAACTTTTTAAAACATGAGAATAAAGATACTTTTTACTGGGTTTTTCAAAGTCTGACCCTGAGGAATAAGATGTTTGGGTAACAGCATGACATTTACCTTTTCTTTTCCGGTCACAAAACTTGGGGGTTAATTGCCTAATATGGTGTACATATTCCCAAGACTTCCAACCTACAGAAACTAGAGATCACCCTTGTCATTTACCCTATAAGGACGTGGACCCCCACCCCTAAGGCTGGGCTCATGCTGAGAATAAACTTAAGACTACAGACCTTTACCCCACAACTGATGCAGCAAAGCCTGTTTTCCAGTGCCCTTAAAGTGATGAGTTGGAAACTGCTATCCTATAAACCCTGAAAACAAAATGGTTGCATATGAACACTAGGCTTTTTCCCTGAGAGCAGAAAAAAGATATCCTGTTTTCAAGGAAAATAAAAGCAATCAATCTCTTACAACTGTCCATCATCATAAAGTCCTACAAAAAAGATTTTAATAGCACACTTTGCTGGCGACGATTATGTCTATTAGGGTACTAAAAGTATTTTTCCTGCTGGGTGCGGTAGGCCCAAGCCTATAATCCCAGAGGCTCAGAAGGCTGAGGCAGGAGGATCACAGAGTTCAAAGCCAGCCTCAGCAATTTAGTAAGGCCCTAAGCAACTGAGACCCTGTCTCTAAATTTATTTTTAAAAAGGGCTGGGATGTGGCTCAGTGGTTAAGCACCCCTGGGTTCAATCCCCTGTACCCAAAAAAAAAAAAAAAAAAGGATTTTTCCTATTTTCATAAAAGACCTGTTTAGTTTGATTGCTGATCTACAGTATGCTTTTTACAAGGCAATTACCATGTTAAAATACACTGCTAACTTCCTGAGACCTATTGTGAATGTGAAAGAGATCATAAAAACCACTCTGATAGATCAGTTGGCCATTAGATAAATGCTGGGCAAAAAATTTCACAAGGCACAGCCACTAAGCCACCATTATGCATTGTTTTTTCTTTAACATTTTGGATTTTATATTTTAAAAATATTTATAAAGTCATCTTCTAGAGTAGTGTTTCTTTAAAATAGGCCACTGGAAGCTGTAATCCCAGTCTTACTTCTTTGTGGGAGGATGCTACAGGAGACCAACCATTCTCTGGACATCTGTCCCATTTTAAAGAATTCCACTCTGGCTACTGGCCTAGTTGTTTCAAAAAATACATTCTAAACAGGGCTTCTGCAAGGCTGGGTTGTTGCATCTGATTTGGTGTCTTACTTAGAGTACACTGGATACATAAACAATGCAACCTTTGTATAGTGGTGTGTGGGGGGGTGTCCTTTGGCAACTTTGTTAGACCAGTCTTTTAGGAAAAAAGAAAAACACAAAAACCACCTGATTTCCAAAAGGAAATCCAAATCCTCCTAACTCACTCCACCATGTTCCTATGAGGCCAGAGAGTGATTTGAGATTGCAAACCCAAATTCAACTTCAAATACCATGCCAGTTTTCCCTCACAGCTAGCCAAGAATCAACCATGTTTTCTGAGACTTCACAGGACAGGATACCCTTATACATTCCCAGACAACTGGCAGACTTAAGCCTTTCTTGAAACAGACATTGACTGCTCCCATCTACTGCAACTGCCCCCCATCCTGTGCTAAGTGGATTCAGTGAAGGCTCAGCCTAGCATAAGCAGGGCATTCCCATGTCTTTTTTTCTTTTAATTGGGGATTGAGCCCAGGGCTGTTCTACCACTGAGCTACATCCTCAGCATCCCCACTTTTTTTAAAAGACAGGGTTTTACTAAATTGCCCAGGCTGCCCTCAAAACTTAAGATCCTCCTGCTTTGGAGTCACTGGGATTACAAGTGTGTGTCACTGCACCCAGCTCATGTCTCCCAATTCGAAGGTGTTTTCCTCTTTTCTAATTAGCCCAGTGACTACCCTTGAGCTTTTTTTTGGGGGGGGGGGGGTTGGGGGGGTGGGTTGGCTGGTTCCATAACCTAGGGCCTCATGCATGCTAGGCAAGGAGTCTAACTGAGCTACATTCCCAATCTTTATAACTATCTTTTGAAGGACTCCTGTGGTCTCAAGTTCTCTGGCTGCAGAGTCCCAGGCTGGCATAGAAGTACTGCTTCCCAGCTCTGTGCAAAATAAGCCTGGCTAGGAAGGCCACAACCAGAAGGAAGCAGAATGAATGGTCTCTACATTCTGTTCCAGAAAGGAAGGAATCAGTTTCTGTATCCATTTCTAGGAAAACAGAGAGGCAAAGGTAACAAGGCCATGTCAAACTCCTGCTTGCCAAAATTTTTTAACCAAAACTAGTTAATTATATAAAAGCCAAGTTAGCTTTGCTTTTGAGTTTAGAAAGTCTACACTGACTCTTGGGTCTCTTCAGAGTTTTTTTTTTTTTTTTTTAATCAGTGCTGATAACTGAACCCAGGGTCTTGCACATACTAGGCAAGCATTCTACCACCGAACTGCATGAACTGCCAAAATCCCAGCTCTCTTATAAAGCAATACCTACTTTGTACATTAAGGACAGACAAGAAAGTGAGCCAATAAAATACAACACATCAAAAGAAATAACTTGTTTTTACAACATAAGAATTATCCTTACTATGACAGTGTTAGGGAGAAAATATAAACTAACATTCAGGAAGGATATGGTTTACTTTTAGATCCTAAGTGACAAAGACATTCAATGAAAAACTGACAAGCCCAAGAATTGTCAGAGGAATCATAATTACCTTTAAAAAAGCACATCATATTGCAGGAGGCAGCTATGCATTTTCTATGAATATAGAAAAATATTGACAAAGTTCTTTGGTACTAGCTGGCAGTCACCCAAATTTGCCAAATACCTACCCCTCATTCTCTTTCCTGACAAAACAAGTTAAGCCTTGAGGTTAACCAAGAAAGGATTTCTCCCCTCTCCCTATGTATATTAGTAATTGAAGAATGGCTTTATGATTCATCACCACTAACCAGTTTCCAAACCAAAGCTATTAACCAGTTCTCCTCTCTCATGCACTGAAACTGCTCAATTTCTTTATGCTCCATACCTGCATTTTATGGGACTCTTTATCACTAATGTTCTTTATACAGAAATACATGGAGCAGTGCTGCTAAATAAAGGTAAGTCCTGCCAGCAAAGGGCCTGTAATTAAGTCCTGGAACAATGAATATAAAGCAGACTGCATCAGACTGAAATTCATAGAAGGTACTATTTTTAACTTGTCCAAGGCCATGTAGGCACTAAGCAGCAGAGGTGAGACTCCAACCTTAAGGTATAATCTTCATGCCACATTTGTTTAGCATAATAGTAAAAATATAAGCATGAATATACCTTTGAAGACTGAGGTATATCTGTTAAAGATAATGGGAAAGAGGTACTCACTACAGGTGTGAGCCTGGAACACTCCTGGTAGACAAATTAAAGGAATAATGAGCATATAGAAGGAACAGGGAAAAAAGGTTAGGAAAATATCACTGCAGCCAGACTGATTTATCTGGATAAATATCCACAAATACCCTATTTTTTCCCAGGATGAGTTATCATATTCCCATTAATCCACGAGATTACCAGGATCTTCTGTTTAAAGACTAGGAGGCAAAAAAAAAAAAAAAAAAAAATGTTGGGAGTGGCTGGATATGTAGCTCAGTTATAGGTAGCATGCTTGCCTAGCATGTATAAATTCTAGGTTCAATCTCCAGTACCACAAAAAGCTATCTGCTGAGTGAGCACAGTGGTACACGCCTTCAATCACCACTATATAATGGGGAGGCCGAGGCAGCAGAATCACAGGTTCAAAACCAGCTCAACTTAGCCAGACACAGTCTCAAAAATAAAAAGGGTTGGGGTAGAGCCTCCCTGGGTTTAATCCCCATACCATACATAGACATGCACACACAAAGACTTAGGGCCATAATTAAAAGTCAAGAATGGAACAAAAATTTAAACTACCATGTTGTCTTTTCATTCATCTTTCTGAAAGACTACATTATCCTTTAAATATGAATAATGATGTTATTTATGCCTGTCATTCTAACTTGAAGTGTCATGCATGCAGATCAAGAGCTAATGATAATAGGCTTCCATTTTCTAGAAGCTGAAATTCCTTTACAAAATTCAACATGGCATATGCTAGTAATCTTAGACCTTCAGTGAAGACCTGGGCTTGTCAAGATACTACTAAGGTTACCTGAGATGGTAAAATCTATTGTAGGAGTTGATCACTCCAGCTAGGACTGGACTCTTGTTACCTTCCCGACTGCCCAGGGCAAATGGAAAACAAGTTTATTTCCTAAGACAAATTGCAATGGTCATCAACTTTCTGCAAAATGTCAGAAGATATTTCAGGCTTTTTGGTCAATACAGTCTGGGTTTTTTTTGTTTGTTTTAAAAAACAAAAATTATTTTTAGCTCAAAGACTGTAAAAACAGACTGGGCCAGATATGACCCACATGCCTATTGTAGTTTGCGATCTCTGATAAAGAAAAATAAACTGAGAAGTATGTGAGACAACAAATGGAACTTATGTGAGACTACATATGGGATTTTATTAGGCAAGATGAATTTGGAACAAGTGGGAAGAGAAATAAACAAGCTATTGTCATGATAACCTACACCAGAACAACTCACAGTAAGTGTGAAGAAAATACAGTAAAATTACATATGAATACAGATAATGATAACTAGTAAAGATAAAGGGCACATAGTAGGAAAGGAAAAAAATCTGCGAAATATCTCAAGCCATCAAAAAATTTTCATTCTACTGTGGAGGGAATGGCATGCGGTTTTGTGTGAAGAAGTGAAGCACTGACTCCAGTTAATCACATAAATGACAATTAGAAGAGACAGAAGTCATTAGTATTGTCTGGTTATGTCAGTAGCCTTCAGTGAGCTAGAACATGAACTGCCTAAAAACATTTTTCAAGCTAAACCAAATATAACCCATTTAAAGTAAGTGAAAAGACACATATAAGTCCACAAAAAGCAAACTATTTACTACCTACTACATAACTTACTCTTTATTGAAAGTATCTTGCACTTACGATGTTTTCTGGATTTTGCCACATATTTCAATGTTAAAAGTTACTTTTTACATGCAAGTAGTATGAATAGTTTTCCCCATATGGGAACACTGATTTATAAAAGATGACATACCACATGAATGAAGTGTCTTTTTTAATTGAAAAGCTATCAAACTGTCTAGTTACATTTCTCCCCTCCAAATCCACAAACTGGGTAATAACCGAGTCTCTAGGCAACATATTCAAAGCTGATTAAAAAAACAAAAAACCCGAGTCCTTCGGTCCAATTAAGGGAACCCTGCTACATACAGGCAAATCTATCCCAGTGGTACTGCTCGACTCCAGGAGGCTGGAAGAAATCCTAACAACCCCAACTCAGAACATTTACTTCAAGTAGCCTTTTTCCAGTTTCCAACTCATGAATAAAGATAATATTTT